AGAGGGAGAAGCAGACTCCCTGCTGAGCAGGGAGCCCAATGCAGGACTCAATCCTGGGACTCCAGGATCATGACCTGAGCCGATGGCAGCCGCTTAACCAACTGAGCCACCCAGGAGCCCTAGGTCAGGAAGGGAATTTGGCAGGACAGCCTAGCAGTAGGGAGGGAGTAGGGACTGTGAGCTTGAGGTTAAGAGAAGAGGATTGTCTCCCAAGCTCTAGAAGGGGTCAGTACAAACAGCATTCTAGGAGAGGTAGAGGCTGAACCCACTCACATACTTGGACCCCCAGGTAGAAGAATCAGGATGCCCAGTGCCTGTGGAAATAGACACTGTTTCCTATGACTCTGGGACCCTACGTGAGGGTCCCTGAGGCCAAGCCTGGCAAGAAGGGAAGGAGTTTTGAGAGGAGCCATCCTCATTTAAATGGACCCTCCTTCAAATGGTGACGGACGGATGAGGACACATCCTGATGCCTCGCAAGCCCAAGGGTTCTTATCTAAGGTGGGGATGCAGAACCCCAATGACTGGTCCTGGGATTCTCAACATATAAGTGAGTGGGTGCAGGTATATCAGATTTATTTTGACTTAGAAAAATCAATGTGACATTTCTTATTCTTTGAGTGTTCTGAAGCAATTCATATTGTACATTTATTCTGGCCTCTGTCCAATTTTTCCCATCTTGTTCAAGCTGTGGGATCCCAAATTGGGTATGATAGATTCATCAGGAGTGTGCAGAAAGGGGCTTAGAATTCACACCAACCACCCAACTGTTTCCTGGTCCGATCACAGAAGTAACTCATATGCAAGTGTCACGTGTGTATTTAGCTGCCTCATCGAAAATATGGTCCATTTCCCGAAATAGGCGTTAGGCTTCTCCTAAATGAAAACCAGGTCTTTATCTTGTTCCCTCACCCCATCTTGTAATGGTCAGCCCAGAGCCCAGCACCTGGAGAATGCTCATCAGTGGAAAGACAAATGTGTTTATGATTTGAATTATCTTTGTGCACATACTTATTTTCTGGGCAATGACAGATATGCCCCGACAAGGGCATCGATCTCAGCCAACTGTGATCTAACCAGGGATTTTATGCCAGAAGCACCATGATCAGCAATTACCTGGCATCTCTCAGCAGGTGCTGGACAAGTATTGTTCTGGAAGCTGTTGGCAGCTTCCCACCTATCCTTGCCTTGTCAGAGCCTCACCTGGCTCAGTGGAGAAAGGACTGCTTTAGAATCCAAAAGACTTGGGTTTTGAATTAACCTTGGATGAATTCCTTGAGCAAATTACTTAGCCTCTCTTAACCTCATTTCCTGGTTTTTAAAATGGGAAAACGAGCAATTACTTTAAGGAATTTGTAAGAGGATTAAATGATGTAACTTATGCAAGCCCCTTGCGCAGAGAAAATGCTCAGTCATCTTTGGCTGTCTTACCCCACCCACCCCTGGCTTCTCCATCCATTCCTCCAGGCTAAGCCCAGCATCTAGAAACACTCCTGAGCAGAAGAAAGTAAGCACTAGAAACATTCCTAGAGGAAAGATAACAGCTTGGAGACTCTGGACCTCACACCGAAGAAAGGGCACAAAGATTTAGGACAAGGAATGCAGCCCATTTGGGGACTATAGGTTGTGTCCCTTGGACCTGCCACTGAGAGCCCTAGACTCTGCTTCCCTCCATCTGAGGGCCATCTGGGTGAAAAGCAGTGAAACACTGCAGGCTCACATGGGGGCAGCACGGCAGGATGGGTAAGATCATGGACCTCAGTTTAAATCCTCACTCTGCCACTTAACTACTTCATGACCTTGGATATGTCACATAGCCTCTCTGTGCTTATTTTATCCCCTGAAAAATCAATTGTATGAAGTGCTGAGCATGGTGCCTGGTACATAGTCAGCTCTCAGGGGCATCATGGCATTATAGTGTGGTGGTGAAGAGCTTGGACTTAGAAGCCTAGCTCTGCCCCTCGCTAACTTACTAACCATGGTCAAGTAACCAGCCTCTCAGTGCCTCAGTTTCTTTATTTGCAAAATGGGGGCAGTAACACTACCTAATGCTCTTAGTTTGGGTGCCTCCAGAACCTCTGAGACAAGGACCTGAGAGCAAGGAGTTTATATGGAAGGTGGTCCTAGAAAACATCGGTAGGGGAAGAGGGAAGTGAAACAGGGAAGGGAAGGAAAGCTAGTAAAGAGTTACCTCTGTGGGCAACCGGAGCTTCTTTGTACTTGGGGAACTGGGAGAGTATGTAGAACACACCCCAGATACTCCACCTACAGGTCAAGGAAGCTGGGGTACTTATCCACCAAGTGCCCATCTGTCATTGGCTGAAGGTTGTTTCTGAGGATCTTCACTCTCAGCACCCGCAGTGTCCTGCACGGGAGCTAAGTGTGCTCCCCAAGGCGGCGGGGGCGGGGAAGATGATTTAAGCAGAGAATTTCAGGTGCTTGCAGTAGTAGTCTACGGTGTAGGGGAAAATGAGAGCGGATATGGACAGGGCACCAATAACATCTGCTATACTACCTCATATACTACTATATACCTCATTTAAATAAAATAAATCATATGACAAAATAAATATGGAAAGTTCTTAGAACAATGCCTGGCATGGAGTAACCACTCTCCCAGATGACATTCAGACTAAACAGGTTCAAATAATCTTTCACTTGAAAACATTTCAAAGTACTTGTGAATGTTTTTAATTGTTTCTTATTTAATGGAAGGGAGGAATTAGGAAAAAAGTAATTCAATTCAATAAATATTTACGCATGGTCTACCATGTCTGTGTTCCCATGATAATCAATAGAAATAAAGAATTTGTGTATTTGAGGCAAGGTTCTACTCCAACCACCTCTTCCTAAGCATATTCTTTTGCTTGTTATCCTTTAAAAATGTTTGCTTTATTTCTGACCTCTTCCTTACCTCACTTTGCAATTTGCATTTGGGGCTGTTGGTAATCTTTGAATAATGATGGCTAGTATATGAATTGCCAAAATCATGGAAATAGGCAAATCCCACTTTTCATTTCTATGAACTGTCAACCAATAAAGATTTCAAAGAAAAAATGGTCACAAAGAGTTCTCAGCAAGCCTATTCATCAGGCGAAAAGATTCACATCATTCTCCTATATTATTAACCTAGTCCTTCATCCTTAAATATGAATGGACCACCAAGAACCAACAAACATTTGGGGAAAAAATCAATGGGACAAAAGAGGAACAAAAGGAACAAATAGAACAATCTACAACAGAGGTAACAAACACAATGCAGGAAATAACAGAATTTAAAATTGCATATTCATATTTTAGAGTGACTTGAGAATTGTAACCACAAAACAAGAACAAGTTGCTATGAAAAAGGAAGCAAAAAAAAAAAAGAACAGTAACAAGAGTTCTTGGATATTAAAAAATAATTAAATGTAAATCTAGCAAAGCATGTGCAGGACTTGTATGCTAACATGCAGAGGGGTCTATGAAGCATAAATTTAAGGAGTCTTGGGCATCACTACACCACTGTTAGGAAGAGCTTAGACCTGAGACTGAAACTTGGTGTGTCAGTAACTGTGAGATTTTGGCAAATCAATCTCAAATATCTACCACTGAAGCATTTTTATCATGCCTGCTTCAAAATTGTTGCCAGATCATTCTAATATCTCTGTCAGTGTTGGCATCTATGGTTTGTCTTTCTTCATTCAGTCTGAGATATTCCTGGCTTGTATGACAACTGATTTTCAATGGAGATTTGGATGTTTTTGTATTATATTGTGAGACTAGGTCTTATTTATTTATACCTTCTGTTCTATCTACTGTTGCGCCCCCCCCTACCCCCCCACCTTTTTTAAACACCACTCCAGGAGGCAAAGGAGGTGGAGGCACATCACCTTGTTACTTACAGGTGGAGGTAGAAGTCCAGTTTCCTCACCCGGACTCTGCTGACAAGGGCGGGGGGGGTTGCTCTTTTTTTTTTTAAGATTTTATTTATTTATTTGAGTGAGAGAAAGAGCAACAGAGATAGCGAGAGAGCACAAGCAGGGAGGAGGGGGAGAAGCAGGCTCCCCGCTGAGTGGGGAGCCTGACACCAGGCTCCATCCCTGGGATCATGACCTGAGCTGAAGGCAGATGCTTAACCGACTGAGCCACCCAGGCGCCCCAGGGAAGGGGGGTGCTCTTCTTTACTGCTGTGTGGGAATGGGAATTCTGGGTCCCCATGTGGTCTCCACAAACACTGAAGTGGGATTGGCCTCCTTACCTCTGGCAATTGTGAAAGTCCTGACTCTCTACTAGGCCTCCTCTGACACCATCCCAGTGGGAAAGAGGGGGTGTGCCTCATTACTGCTGTGTGGGGTAAAAGTCCGAGCTCCCCACATGGTCTCCACTGACACCACAGGGGTGGAAATTAAGTTCTAGCTCCCTATTTGACCTCCATCATATGGGGGGCTGAGGAGGTGCCCACTATAGTCTCATAAGGGTGGGAGTCTAGGCCTTCAGGTGAGGTAGGGCCCCAGTTTTTTCTGTGTTGTTTGGCTGAAGTAGAGAGATTACTATCTAAGTTTTCTGTTTTGCTGGGCTGTATCTGGTCCTTTGGCCAGACAGAGAAGTCATTTGTTGGGGTCTTTTATGTCCGCACCCATTGGCATTTCTTGGGTGTCAGCTTCTTCAGCCCCAAGTCTAGGATATATGAGGCAACAAGAAACCCAGCTAACTCACCTCTATGTCATTCCTTGGGTCCTCATGTCCCTAACTGCTCTGCCTTCTTTTCTCCATATTTCATTGTCTCCTTGTGCTTGTTTCATATATAATGCCAGGGTTTTAGTTGCACTTAGTGCCAGGAATAGGGAAAAATATGTCTGTTCTATCTTCCCTGATGTCAAAGTCACTCATTCTTCATTTTAAAGTAGCTAGTATAATGAAGAATTTCATTTCAAGACTTGGAAAATCCAACTGCTAAAAAATAGTCACGACTTTATAAGAACTCATAAAAGCTCGTGTTTAGGGGCCAGAACTAACTTTGCTAACAGAGAGAGACTCTATGTTATTGTTTTGTTTGGGGGACCCCTTTTGACATGTGATAGATATGACATGTCATAAAAAGAATATTAAAAGTGCCAGGTCATCACTGTGCTTTAAACGATTTGATGGTAAGTAGATTTTATTAAATTTCGTAGCACTTTGAGGTTTTAGGAGGATTCGATGGCCTGGATGCCTCAAGTTGAAAGATAGTTATTCTAAGCCAGGCACTCCATCTGAGTGGTCTGCTTAGTATCCCCAATCAATTAGATCATTGATATGGGTGTGTGTCAGGAATAAACACTGTCAGTCTCAAAGAGTGGTGGGGGGATAAAGTTCCCTAGGTCACCCCCGCACGGAACGGCTTACATCTGGTTCAGGTTAGAGATGAACAGCTGACTAGATAGCTTAATGAACCCCCAAGATAGTTCCATAAAGGGAAAGTGACGATCAGGAGGTTCAGTTAACATTCTGGGATTCCAGCAAATATTTCAGAAAGGATCCTATTACTTTTTTTGAAGGTTGCAAAAATCAAAACATCTCTTTTGGAAATGCCGCCTCCCCACCTTAAAAAAAAAAGTCCTCAGGGAGTGCTGGGGTGAGACTCAGACTTGGATGATGAAGACAAAGAAATCTCACCGCACCAGTCAATATTTTGCTGGTGCTGTTCTGGGCCAAGGGTGTTGTGTACTTGAGAAATGGGTGTGAGTCTTGGGAAGGGGAGGGGAAGGAGAATGAAAAAGCAACCCAAAGTGTTCTCCACCAGAGTTGAAAGCAACTCTCCTCGACACACATCAATCTTGTTCCCCAAACAGTCCTGACAGAGCCTTTTAGTATCAACTAGATATTCCCAGAGAGTGCTTATAACCCTTTAGAGATCATTGTTCTCTTATGTCAATATGTATATTACCAGCAAAGACCTCACTTATTCAGAGAGGAAAAAATGAAATGGTGTTCAGCCTCAGAGCAGTTGACTCTGATTTTATTTCATAAGATTCTATTTTCCACGTCTTATGTAATGCTGCACCCTGCAATGCATGAAATACCAGTGTGTGGATTCTCCGTTCCCAGAGACATCTACACAAGGGGATATGCAATGGACTTAAAGAGGCTCACGCCAGGCAGGTAGTCTTGCTAGCAAGAGCTTTTCCTTCAAGATCTAACAATCAGCTCCCTGGCCAAGACCAAGCAGCCAAACCAAAGGAGAACAATGACATTCCGAGAGATTCAAAGGGCAGCTCCTTTAGCAGCTCTCCTATCCTCGCCAAATGGGTCTCTAGTAAAAGGACAGGATCACGTCTAGAGGATATTTGCAAAACTTGACTTCATGTTTTGCTTTAGCTTCTTCAAAGGGAAGCCAGTGTTCTTCAAACGTCTAAAGAGAATGTAAAAACTTTGCAGTCTGTAAAATAACAGACCTTCCCCTCTCAAGGAACCAGGCTCCTACTATGAGTGATGATATAAGGAAGGAGCATCCCATAGGATGGAAGGAAGAGAACAGTCTATTGGCAAACACAACCGCATGTGCTGTTTGTAGAGCAAGGTGCCAGGAAGTGTGGAGAAAAAGGCAAAAATGAGCCAGATGGTAATTTACGCACAGTGAACCAGATTGCCCAAGCCACCACACGTATGAGAACTGAATAGTCTCTCTGTGGCCTAAAGCGTGTACGCTTACCAAGAGATGGGTACCTAAGAGATGGGTTGTCCACCAAGTGGTGGGAAAAGCATAGCTCCAAAGACAGGCAGACTGGGTTTGAATCCAATGCATTACTTCCTGCCTATGTCAACTAGTACTTGTCGCCTAAACTTTCAGGATCTCCGTTTTCTTATCTATAATATGGGCATTCATTCATTCATTTAGCATTTATTCAATGTTTATTATGTGTCAAGGATTGCACTAGATCCTATGTAATACAGCAGTGAATAACACTTCTTGTGTGTTCTGATTTAAATGAAATAATGTATGTAAAGCATCTATTACTGAGACACATACATGGGAGATGGCTGAATAACTATTATTTCCTTTCTCTTCCTTAATCCTTTAAGGGATGTAGAAGTAGTTTCATTCCAAATAATCACTTGTTCATGACAAGGTAAATTATAGAGATATCTACCTCCAATACAGGAGAAACTGCAATCCATGGACTCTTCTTACGGACTTTAGCATCTCAAATGTTAGGACCTTTCACTAGAGCTTGAAATGAGGGATGGAGGGCATTCCAAAGGCTTCCCATCTTCCATCTGCCCTGACCACTCCCTCCCAGCTCTGAATCTAACTGCAGCGGCGTGACATAGGGGATAGAGTATGAAAAGTGGAGGATGTGCCGGGTCACTCCCCTGAGCCATTCATTAGGCACGTGACAGAAGGTAAATCATTTAAGCCAATAATCCCAGCAGCCATCACCTGCTGAATTCCTCAAAAGCGCTCTCACTAGACTAGAAACTCCTTGAGATAAAGACTTATTTATTTGTGTCCCTCCTTCAGTGACTCCCAAAGTACAAATAGTTGGCCCTCGAACAACATTTGTTGAATGTAAATTGGGATCATTCTGCCTTGGCCACGTTATAGGTTTTTATGAAGATCAAATAAGACCATTTCTATAAAAACTCTTTGAGGTTGTAAAATACCATGCAGATGTAAGAAATTAATATCGGCCTGTTTCGGGTCTGAGAAGGAAGTAGCAAAAAGGGGAGAAGAAATGGGGAGGATGAAAGGGAGCTCGGGGTGGGGCAGGCGCTTGGATTTGAAAGCAATCTGAAGTCAGTCTGAGATGGAGGGAAGGGGTTTCAACTGTTACAAGAATGAGGGTCAATTCCCACACAGCTCGACAGTCTTTCAGTGACTCTGGCTTCAGACTGACTCAAAGATATTCTATCCTATGACCAGCTTCAGGGTATTGGGAAAAGGCATTACGACAGTCATGGAATATGATGGAATACCACGTTTCAAAGGTCACGCTTCAGAGACATTGTTAATGACATGGGGAGATGCTTAAGAACAAATTAAATCATTTAAAAAATAAGGCAATTAGAATCTTAATTTCGTAAAAATAAGTGAATAAATAAAAGCATATGGAAGCAAGGGGGAAAAAAAACACCGCAAGGAGGAATACCAAGAAGTTAACAGTAATACATTTTTACAAATAATTATAATAATTATAAATAATCTTTTCCTTGTTTATACTTGTATATGTTTTATACAACCTTCAATAAATAAGTATGAGTTTTATAATTGGAAATACATCTGTGTGTGTATACACAGATACTCTCTTCATTGTTGGTTCTTGCATCTGTTCCAGGATGTTGTTCCAGGAACCAAATCATCAGAAACCGAATCGGATGTTCCATCCAAGTCCCACTTGGCAAAAATGAAACCCGTAACTCAGCTTTTTGATTTTTGTCAGCTGTAGGCTAGATTGGACTCTTTCCCCTTTCCCCTGGAAGTCAGACGCCTGGGTTCTCGTCACAGCTCTGACAGCTGTGCCTCCTTAGATATATCACTGCCTTTTTCTGGGCTTTCCTCCCCCTCTGTAAAATGAAGAAGCTGGACTCTGAGGATCTGGGACACCCCCTGGGCAGTTTTTAGACCATTCACCACCTTTCCCTGGCCTTTCCTCTGTGTGTATGTTTTCCATTTCACTCCCCCTAACAATTCTTCCCCAGAAAAAGAAGCCAAGCACAGATGAGAGTTTTTGAGTTTTTCCTAACACTTCTCACTGCAGGTTGGAAGACCTGGTTGGCTAGTGCTCATTGGGCAGGTCAACAGGCTGGGGCCGGCCCTGTTTCCACTCTCGCCCCCTAATCGTAGCCCTGGCATCAGAAAAGCAAACTACATTTGGTTGACGTGGGACGTATTTTTAATCAGGGAAAAGCAAGAATGAATACAAAAGGCCTCTCTTTCCTCCAAGCAATTCTGAGTATCTGCTTTTGGGTTTGTGTCTGTCTGTATTTGGCACAGCTGGTCTTGGAGAAGGCCTGGCATTTGTGACCAAAGGGTCAGAGGCCTTCCTTCTCCAGGTTGGAAGCAGCACAAAGTGTTCCGATCAAGGAGCAACAACATGCTGGACCCCAGAGCCCCCCGACAGCCTGAGGGGGTGCCCAGTCCTCCTCCGTCTCCTTCACCAAGCCTGTGGCCCCTCGGCCACGACTGCAGCACGCTTCACATCTCCCAGCTCCGGGCTCCTTTCAAAGGCCCTTTATTAAACCACCAACTATTTGCTGTCGAGACATTTAGGATGAAATCATTGTGTTAAATAAATAAACGTAGCTTCGTCCAGATTTCTGCTCTGGGAGCAGAGTAAGAAAATAATTTCTGTCTGCTCGCCACAAAAGCGGCTGGAAAGGCCCAAAGAAAAATATTATTTTTACTCCATTGTGTGAAATATTGTCCTGGAGGATCTGACGCACTGAGCGTTTGAAGAGTTTGTCCTGGCAGGTTTCAAGGGTCCCCTGGGCCGGCCCCCTGGGGTTGTTTTCTGCATTAATAAACTTAGCATGGTGTGTGTTAAAAGGGATATTCTGTTTGCTTTGTAAATAAGGGATGTCAAACAAGAAGCAGAAGCCTTGCAGACATTAGGTGATGTGTTCTCGGAGCGGGGAAAGGGAAGAAGCAGGGAGGGAGAGGCACCCTGGAAAAAAATGGGCATTACTGGGGCTCCCTGAACTGAGCCGAGGCCATGTTGGGAAAACAAATCAGCCTGTTTGAGTCCAAACCAGGCCATTTCCTCACTGAGCCTGGTGGGAAAGCTGCACACTTTGCCCTGAACCAGCAGGATACAGGCTTGGGAAGGAAAGTTCTCAAGTGTCTGTCAGCTGTGTGGGGAGGGGAGATGATGATGATGGCGCCTGGCAGAGGCCCCCCCAACCCAGCCCCACCCCCACCCCTTGGAGAGAAGTTTCTTGGCTTGTCAGGATCTCCCAGAGCTGGCGGGCAGGAGGGGGCAGAGGTTAAAGCCATATCTTTGGGAATGATGATTTGACTCTCGCTCTATCTCTCTCATAGGCCTTTCTCAGATGTCACTGCAGCCCCTGAGCTAGTCCCCCTGTCAAATTCCTGATGGGCCCTCGGGGATGCTGACATCGTGGGAGACACATCACCCTCGCCCTGTGATCCCTGCCTCTGTGGGGAACCTGAAGGAGCCAGGGCAGGATGTGTACGGTCTCTGGCTCAAGTATTTGCTATTTTCACAGGTGCCTCCCCCTGGCCCCACAGCCCCCTCCGTTGTCCAATCCTATGTTATTGAAGGCTCCCCAGACCTCCCAGGTGGCTTCACTTACAGCCGCTGCCCTGCTGGCCTCTTCTCTTTCTCCCTAAATTCTCCATTCCCCTCGGCAGTGCTGGGAGGACTCCCTGGACATCCATTTCTATTCTGGAAAGTCCTGGTTCTCTCCTGCTTGGAAGTTCACACTGATTCTTGAGACTTTGGAGGAGACAATGGCAGGGAATGCTGAGATCTGTTCTGTGACCAGTGACTTAAGCAACAGCAACGTATTCTCCCAGATACTGGCCAGAAGTCCGAAATCAAGGTGATGGCAGGGCTGTGCTCCCTCTGGAGGCTCCAGGGAAGGATCCTCCCCTGCCTCTTCCAGCTTCTGGTGGCTGTCAGCATTCCTTGGTGGTGGCTGCGTCTCTCTCTGCTCTGTCTTCAGATTGTCTTCTCCTCTGTGAGGCTCTCTCTCTGTGTTCTCCTCTCCCATCTGTCTTTCCTCCTTTTGTCTCTTTCTTATAAGGACATTTGTGATGGCATGTAGGTCCCATCCGGATAAACCAGTAAGCTCCTCCCTCTCAAAATCACTAATGACATCTTTTGCTCTATAAGGTAATATTCATTCTTTTACCATAGAAGGTAATTTTCACAGGTTTTCACATACCTTTTGAAAGGCCACCATTCAGCTTACTACAGCCCTTTGGTCAATGACAGAGTCAAGACTAGAATCTGAGGCTTAAAAAAAAAAAAGATTTATTTTAGAGACAGAGAGAGCACAAGCAGGAGGGGCAGAGGGAAAGGGAGAGAGAATCTCAAGCAGACTCCACATTGAGCATGGAGCCAAGATGCAGGGCTCGATCTCACGACCCTGAGATCATGATCTGAGCCAAAACCAAGAGTGGGATGCTCAACTGACTGCACCATCCAGGCACCTCAAATAAGGTACGTAAAGCACTTAGCAGGATCAGGCACACAATAAAGGTTTAAAGTTAGTTATCTATAGTGTTACTGTTCTGGCAGCGGTTAAGTATTTTATCATTAAAAATTATAAGGGAGAGAAAATGTTTGCAAAATATCTGGTAAGGGATTAGTATCCAGAATATATAGAGAACTCCTAAAATTTAACAATAAAAATAAATAGCCTAATTCAAAAATTGGTGATAGACTTGAATAGACTTTTCTCCAAAGAAGATACACAAATGGCCACTAAGCACAAGAAAAGATGCTCAACATCAATAATCATTAGGGAAATGTTAAACAAAACTACAATGAGATACTACCTCACACCCACTATGACAGCCACTACCAAAACAACAGAAAATAACAAATGTCGACAAGGATATAGAGAAACTGGGATGCTTGCACACTGTTTTGGGGAATGTAAAATGGTACAGCCCTGTGGAAAACAAGTCTGATGTTTCCTCAAAAAAGTAAAAATGGAACTACCATATGGTCCAGCAATCCCATTTGTGGGTATATACTCAAAAGAATTTAGGGGCACCTGGGTAGCTCAATCGTTAAGCGTCTGCCTTTGGCTCAGGTCATGATCCCAGGGTCCTGGGATCGAGCCCCGCATCAGGCTCCCTGCTCAGCAGGGAGTCTGCTTCTCCCTCCCCCACTTCCCCTGCTTGTGTTCCCTCTCTTGCTGTCTCTCTCAATGTCAAATAAATAAATAAAATCTTTTTTTAAGAAAAAGAATTTAAAGCAGGGTCTCAAATCAATATTTCTAAATCCATGTTCACAGCAACATTATTCACAAAACCAAACCACAGAAGCAACCCAAGTGTCCATCCATCAATGGATAAATGGGTAAGCAAAATGTGCTGTATACATACAGTGGAATACTATTCAGCCTTAAGAAGGAAGGAAATTCTGATATATATGATAGCATGGATAAACCTGGAGAACGTTATGCTAAGTGAAATAAGCCAGTCACGAAAAGAGGCATACTGTACGATTCCACTTACAGGAGAGACCTAGAATAGTCAAAATCATTGGGATAGAAGGTAGAATGGTGGTTGTCAGGGCCTGAGGGAGAGAGGAATGGGGAAATATTGTTTAATGGGTATATAGTTTCCGTTTTGCAAGATGAAGAAAGTTCTGGAGATGGATGGTGGCGATAGTTGCACAACAATGTGAAAAATACAAACTACAATACGCACCAAGTATATTGCTCATGCAACATTAGCAACCTATGAACTTGACCTATGAACCTATGAAATTGAACAAGGCGAATCAAGGTCCTGGAAGCCCCACTAGGGAGGTAGGGGGAGATGAGCGCCACTGGGAAAGTTCCTCTCTCTGGCCTCATAGCTCAGCAGTCTCCAAGGAGGAAGGGCTGCCACCTGCACAGCTCCCTGTGACCCTCAGCAGGAGCCACACCAGCCAGCTATTGTCCACTGCTGGTCTGTTTTAGCATCATCCACCTGGCTGAGTAGGATGAGCCAGAGGAAAGCAGACAGACTTGAACAGTAACTTGGGAACGGTCAGAAATGAGAGTTTGGGTCATCTAGGGGCCACGGAAAGGTTTCATGTAACATATCTGTCCCCCAGCCCATATTAAAGGGAGAGTTCCTCATGGCCAGAGTTCAGAACAAATCTCTCAGCATCATGGAGTTGTGACCTTCCCCATCATGTTGCTGTTTTGGCAGGCAGCACAATCATACTGAAAGATCTGTGTTAAAAGTTGACTTACCCAGGCGCTTGTCCCGCCTCTGACTCTCTCCCCTGTGCAGCCCCCACTCCTAAATGCACAGATACTGCCAATGAATGTCCCACTGAAGCCCCAGCAATTCATCTGAAAATACCCTCAGCTGTTTGCTTCTGTGGCAGCTCTCACTATGGACCAAGGCCTCCAACTTACCCACCAACAGCCCAGAGAAGATTCGAGAACTGCAGAATGCCACGGAACACCCTGACTCAAAAGTCAGCTTCCCTGAAACAGATGGGGTATGAGCAGGCTTCCCAAGTACTTCACATCCAGGGACCAACTCCCGCTCCCTGGCGGCCTGCCCTACCGTCAGAATAAACCAAGCAAGAAGGGGAAAGTAGCTTTAGAAGGCTCCGGAATCTGCCGGCAACTGTTTCCCAGGGATTTCTTTTCCTAATCTTGCTCCATGAGCAGTGGGTTACCAGAAACCCAATTTGGCTCTGCAGGAAAGTTCAAGATGGTAAGATATGGGTGAAGCCTGAGTGTTAGGATCACTCCACCTACCTTCACAGTTAGGGAAAGTCAGGCTGGCCCCAGCCTCTTCCCAGAGCTCCATGCCAGAAGGCAGCCCGTGCCAAAACCCATGCCCAGAGACAGCATGTCCTATGCACATAGTATATAATCAAAACAGAGTGAAAACATTCTCCCTCTAGTATGTTGAGTATATGCCCGCTTCCCTCTGCTGGTTAGCTCCCCTTGTTTTCCTTTTCCTGACCTCTCTTTAACTGGTTGTCTTTTCATATAAATTTCAAAGTTGGAGCCAAACAAGCTTTGATATCATACCAGAAAGGGCTCTTTAAGATACCGTAGGAAAAAGAGATCAAGACACAGTAATTTCCACCCTGTATCCTATCATCTCATGCAGCTATCTTAAATGGTGCCTCTGGCTGTCCTCTGCACTGTGGTCTCTGCCTATGGGCTAACCAAAGCTCAGCCACTGCAGGAGTCCTGACAGCTTAAAGTCCCTCGAGCTTTGGATGTAGTCAGAATCACGATGTGGTGACAATGTTTCCATGCTTGTTTAAAATAATGCTAGAGTATCATTCAACTTCTCAAAACTGCTGCAACCTTCCCTGGAGCTCTTGCCTTCAGCACACACTGGAGGATGGGATTTTTAGACATAAAATGTTCTTGGGCGAGTGTGATCGCAGCATTGAGACATGGGTTAAACTGGACCAGTTCTCAGATCCTTTCAACTCATATATCTAAGGGTCTATAGGTCTTCAGTTCAAATGGAGGGGAGGCTAGGGGTCAAACTCAAGCAGCCTCGGGCAGGGAAGAAGTTACCCAAGAGATGACCAGATCTCAGGTCTCAAGATTTCCTGTTTGCAGAGAGAACTTCTTTTTTTCTTTCTGTACATATCTAGCTTTATTTCTTTATTAAACAGGATCATAAATTACACATAATAAATTTCACCCTTTTAGGGCGCTTGGGTGGCTCAGTTGGTTAAGCGACTGCCTTCGGCTCAGGTCATGATCCTGGAGTCCCGGGATCGAGTCCCGCATCGGGCTCCCTGCTCGGCAGGGAGTCTGCTTCTCCCTCTGACCCTCCCCCCTCTCATGTGCTCTCTCTCATTCTCTCTCTCTCAAAAA